ATGATAATGCATACAATTGCAATTTGATCAGCCCATGATCTGCCTTTCCTTAATCCAGTTTGTTCCGGGCGGAGGTCTTTATCCAGTGTATCCTTTATTTTTTCTCCAGGATGATGTGACTTAGTATTTTACTTGACGTGGAAAACAGCATTATTCCACACCAGTTCTTGCACAGGCCTAGGTTGCCCTTCTTTGGCAGTTTGTCGAGGTAGCCCTTCTTCCAATCAGTGGGCACCTTTCCTTCTTTCCAAACATTTTGCAGTAATGGAGTGAAAACATCGGCTGTAATCTCTGGGGCCGTCTTCAGCGCTTCGGTAGGCATGCCGTCTGGTCCTGCTGTCTTCACGGCCGGCGTTCAGTAGCTTGATCGCATTCCGGATTTCCTCTTTCGGTGGAGGAGTGGTGACCATTGGCGTTTTCGCACGTGGCTAACTCCCTCGTTGTGCTATCACTAAGCGCACCCTTGAGCTCGCTAACCCAGCTAGTTAACAGACTAGTTGTACAGTATTCTTATTCAATAAATCTAACATTTAATGTGTTGTAAAAATATAAGCCTTAACTGAGCACACTACATAGCAACAAGTCTTATTCACTTTGAGTTCGTTTATCGGTACTTACATGTTAGCTAGAGTACTCATCAGGGTAGACGTGAAAAGACTAGCTGTCTTCGATCATAAGTGTCTGCGTTCTATCTTCCTCCCGTGTGAAGTGGTATAATAGGGTGAGCAATATTGATGTTAGGCTTCGGTCGAGGGCTAAGTAAGGAGGGGAAATCAGTCGACGAAGCTGTGAATTTACATCAACTGAGAGGGTTAGGACGCGTGTTATTAATGCCTAGCCATCGCCTCCCTCGCCCAACAGGCAATGTAAGCTGACATAGGGTCAGGCTGGAAAAGAACTAGCGGCGGTCAAACGAAAACATGGCACCAGTCAATGAAATCCACAACAGTTAGTTTAAGCCACCCACGTAGGAAGGTGTAGACTTCCTGACTGGTTGGGGTCCTCGGGACGGTAAAAACTAATGAAGGCTGGAGAGAATTGGTGATATGGCTCAAAGTGATCGTTCTCAATGGCTGGTTGGCGCAGATGCATCCACTCCTTATGACTTATAATATCCAATGAAACTATATTGTTCTTCGTCATTACTATTCCGATTGTCTCACACCTCTGTATACTGTCTGTATTATACATTTCTTGACTTTCTCCTGTTGCTTTGTGTTCTACATGGAGGTAGCGTGGCGACTTGAACTGCTGCACATTAGTGCAAAGTTCTATGTCGAAAACAGACAAACAAACTGATCAGGGTTAACTGAGGAAAACAAGTTTAGTAGGTGCTGACTTTAAAGACTGTCTAGAGGTTGACATCGACACTAACAGAGCCAACCCATAGTAATGCTAAATTGAGTCAAAATGATACTTAATGTGGAAAAAGTATACATACCTATCTAGGTGAAGGTTGTGAGTTAAACATCTCGATGGTATTGGCAAGTTGGATACCCACCCACCCAGTGATCGAGCAGTCTATGCACCCCTACCTCATAACCTGAAGTTACTGGGTTAAACTTCTCCTGAGGTCATCGGTGTGTACTGCTGTACAGCCAGTAATCCATAAATTTTAATAATTCATTATGTGATGCCGGTTCATGGCGAAATCTACGCTTAAATTAATCGACACCCCCTTTTCAGACCTCATAAAAATCTAAATATCAGTGAATCCTACTATTCCAGTTCATCAATAATCGATATATTACAAATGGAATTTCAACTAAGACTATGTATGACCTTTTTTTCGCGAGATCACTTAATTTGAACAATTTTGTTAGTTAACATCAAATCAGTGTTTCCACTTGAGCATATGATAATGGTATTTATTAAATTGGATTAAGTGCATACTTTTCATATCCAGTCTACTGCAATCAGGAGAATCATTGGAGATAGTAGGCAGCCTCGTCTTACTTCCGTCTTTACTTCGTAGGATTCCGTAAGTTTCCCGTGGTGGATTACTTGTCATCAAAGTTTTATATTTCAACCGATTTCTTGCTTCTGTGATAAACAAAATTTGATAATTTATCTAAAGAAATTTGACCAGATGAAAAGTATGTCCGTAATAATTTCATGATCTAAAATCTTTGATACCACTACTGTTATATACACCTAATTTTGCCTAAAACCTTAAAATAATCATTTCAAGGGATTACTGCGCACTGCCGTGAGCCCATCGTCTTTCCCTCTGTATTGCTGAGTTCCTATTGACTGTTATATATATATATATATGGAGTTTCTATCTGACGTTTCGACTGTTGTTTGAGACAGAAAAGCTGTCTTATCGACCTCCAGTCTTTTCCTTGTCTTGGTTTACTGGAGGTATTATTGTTGTTATTGACGTGCAATTTGGACAGACTAGTCAGCGCATTAAGTTAGTATTCGGTCATAGTGTCTTCTATTAAAAATCCGATGATAGTGTCTACTAGGTCGTAGTGCCGGTCATATCATTTACGCTTTTGACCCTGACAAATGAATTTCGGGAATGAAAGAATTCATGGGTCATGGGACTCCGTAACCTAGAAGGTCCTAGGTTCGATTTGTGATGGGGTCATGGAGGTATATTGCTGAAAAGTCTCAGAGTAGAGCCAATCAGCTGTTCAATACTCCCTGGTTTTTAATTGTGCTCCAGCTGATAGCAATCCACGGAAACCAAACAAATTTCTGCAAATTTTGATGTGGTTGTGTTCTCTGAGCTGGAGAGTTAATTTGAGAAGCTTTCATCGCCCCACTAGGCAACATCCTCACCTCAGCGCATACTTCAATTTGTTGAAGTGAGCTTCTAGATTCCTCCACGAGTTTATTAGTCATCTCTCCCGGTGACCTTGGACGTGATTGGTTGGTTTGTGTGTTTTCACACCTTCAAGGTTACTTGTATTAGAACTGATTGTTTCCTTGACTCTTAGTCTGACCCTTTGGTGTGTGAGGTTTCGTTCTTATCGGTTGATAAATTTTGTTTATCTTGATGTGTCAAATGATTGATGACTCATTGGAATATAAGGCAGGTTTCTAAAAATTCTCTAGCATTCTTGTTGTTTCCTCTGTGCGTCGGTGGCACAGTGCTTTGGACTCTCACCAACCATACACATGGTCCGAGGTTCGATCCTCTGTCGACGCACACCTGATATCTATGGTCGGCCTGCAAAATTTGGGCTACCGATATCACATGCTGAAAATTCCGCACTTGTACCAAAAATACGGTGTGAAATCAAGCTGTAAACAAAAATAAAAATAAATAAAATATTTGAACGTTGTCCCAGTCGAATTGATGTTCTTGGTTGTCTGTATGTAGTGATATGAGGGAGTGGTTGTCATGTCTTTTGACGGCTAGTTTATGATCATGGATACCAAGACGAAGAGGAGAGGCGTCCACTTTGGTCAATGTAGTGTTTGTCGCAGTAGTTACTATTTATTTTGTAGATGATGTTGGTTTTATCCCCTTTCGAGATAGACAAAATTTATCAACCGATAAGAATGCAACCTCACACACAAAGGGTCAGACTAAGAGTCAAGGAAACAATCAGTTCTAATACAAGTAACCTTGAAGGTGTGAAAACACACAAACCAACCAATCACGTCCAAGGTCACCGGGAGAGATGACTAATAAACTCGTGGAGAAATCTAGAAGCTCACTTCAACAAATTGAAGTATGCGCTGAGGTGAGGATGTTGCCTAGTGGGGCGATGAAAGCTTCTCAAATTAGCTCTCCAGCTCAGAGAACATAACCACATCAAAATCATCCACCTGAGCTACAAATTTTTCTCCATCATATCTTGATTTCTACAAACCAACACTAAAAACTGACTAAGTGAAGCAGTCCATCCGCAATGATTTTATATACAGAAGTTTTGACCTTCCTGTGATCTTTGAGGGATTTTGAGAAAAGGAATTGAACACTCTTGTTTGTCGTTAAATCCTTTTCGCTGGAATCCATGGAGCAGGTTTAGTCTCATTCGCAGATCATCAGCTGAGCGAATATGCATCTTATTGGGTATCGGGGTGTTTTAGCGGAAACATAAACCTCAGACTGCAAAGAAAACTGAGGTAACCGTAAAAGTAACCTCTACCTCAATAGGGACTGGTAAATAGATTTCAGCATATACATTGATTGGTTACTCCCTAGTAACCAGTCAGTCTATTAACCATGGTCCTAGAAGAGGTCAATCGTGAGCTCAAATACCTAAGTGGTATGATCTCTCTCACTGCAGCACTGAGTGACCTGGCTTCTAATCTCAGAAGGGATATTCATTCCTTTAATGCTGCAGGTACATCTTGCTGGCTGGTGAGTTACAGCAAGCATGAAACCTAGATCTAGGGCATCCAACCGACTGCCTCAAACCATCTAACACGCTTAAGCATATCAACAATACAAGAGAATCAAAATTCCAATAAAGCAGTCATACCTGTCTAATGAGATGGTATTATTAGAGGTTAGTAGTAGTCTGTCAAACATTTGAAAAAATCGAACCAGAAGTCACATAGCAGAAAAATGTTGAACACACCAAAACACTGGACTTGGATTCTACCAGTAATCCCTAAAGAATTGTGTAAATTCTGCTTAAATTAAATTAAAGTGATTTTGATGCAGCATACAGTTGTTGGTCTGCAGGAATTCGATCGGCCACAGCTGACATCAGTTGGAGAGCCAATGGTTTCCACGAAGTTAATCAAGAGGGAAGTTATTTGTCGATGATACTGATTGGCGGTCATGCCATATATATATATTGCCGATCGACAAAGTTCAAATTTATGAGCCAGTGGATAGAGTTCAAGTAGGGGAATGATCTGTGAGCTCGTCTTGCAACCTGAAAGTTCTAGGAGCTAGACCCAACAGGTCCCAAAATAGGACGAAACAGCTGTCCAGTAATCCCTGGCTATCTGATAGTTCTCAAACTGTAAATATATATATATTTTATTGAAAATTGAATACGTGCCTTGTTTCATTGTTTTTAATATAGGAAGTCTAAAAAAGACACTATTCTACAACAAAGTTTGAAACATCAACGAAAATGTCTAACAGAAAAAGAAAAACAACAAGAAGAATTGAACCGTAGAAAATTGGAACAAGCTGCTGAAGCTTATTATCAATGGGAATTAAAAAAGGTATGGTATCCTTTTTGTTTCATTTGTTTACGTTCTCAGGGGAATATAGGGCTTCAAGCTAGAGGCTTTAAGTTTCGGTGGCAGTTGTATTCATTTTTACGGGGGGTGGGGTTGCTAGCCTCACACCCAACCTTCCCTCTTTACCAATCTCATCACTGGCTTAGCGAGGTAAAGGAGTGCGTCGGTGTCCGGGGGTCGAACTCCGGACCATCCGCATGGTTGGCGAGCATTCTACCGCTGTGCCACTGACGTACTAGGGAGGCACATAATAACTGTTTATTATAAATATGTATAAACACCAACTTCAAAAAGAGGCAGTAGCATAAGTTGTAATTGCTGTTCCACATATGAATTCAGGATAGAAAGAATAAACCGATTTCATATTCAAAAAATTGAAATAAACAGTTTAAAAAATTTTACGAGTAAAATGCCCTACTGGTACTGTTCAAGGTTCAAAGTGTTTATTTGTATTACCCAGTGTACGACTTCAATGCCCGATAAATTTCGACGACCAGAAGCGATAAACAAGTATCAAGGTAGACGGACTCTGACTGGCTGATTTGCTCAGTCATTGTTTTATGTGAAGATGCTCATCTTTCTCAACAGATGAGAGGTTAATTCAAATCTGCGACTAGTTGTGGCTAACTAACTGGTGGTTTAATTGCTAGAATACTGTCCCAACTACCGAAATACGAATTAAACAAATACTATCATCAACAGGGACTGAAAAGGAAAACATATTTCGTCGTCTGACAGAATTATAAAGCTAAAAGCACAATGAATGGAATACCGCATTCAAAGAATAACGTTTAAACCTTTACTTCAAAAGTCTGAACAGACTGTCCTAATCTGTTTTTTTTACTATCATTCCTTGGAACACAGGGCTTCGAAGCTCTGAAATTTCAGCAGTAGTGGGGATGTTTTTACTGAGAAAGGTTGCTAGCTTCACATTCAAATATACCTGCTTTCCATGCAGTTTAACTACCGGTTAGTAAACAAGGCGAGGTTTGAATGATGTCAACCGGAAATCGAATTTGAACCTCCCGTGTGGCTGGCAAGCTGTCCTACTATTGAATCACCAATTCACCTGTCTTCAATGAAGTATATTTTTTCCAGTCCTGATTTTTCCTATTTGAAAACATAAAAAGGATCGATCTACTATTTGGCTTACTTAATGGGAAAAAGAAAGGTGTTGGGTTTCTACTCGTTGTGGTAGCTAGCCTCACCTTCAACTTTCCTTCTTTACCAGATGTTTGTATGCGGGCAATCGAACCCTAAACCGCCTGCCTAGTTGACGAGCATCTCACCACACTAAGCCACCGACATACGAATGCTTTGTGTTAAAAGAAAAGCGAACTGGATTGTAATACGGTGATCGTGGAGCAGTACTATGAAAGTTAAAATCTGTTAGGGATTTCTTAGCATTTATATGGTGTCTATCAAGTTGAATTATCTTCGGCAGAGGCTGTACAGGCCTTAGGTGTATCCCACTTTACGGATGTAACCCATCAACGTTCAATTTTGGTAGACGTAAACAGATAAACACTTTTTGATAATATGGTCACTTATGATGAGGTTATGTTTTATGTATCAGGCAGTGAGAGAAGGCCAACGTACAAGATGAATAGGAGGTGTGTAGGGCTCATCATCAACCCACTTCCTTTGTAGACGAGCAATGTTTGCCGAAATAAGACTACCTTAATTTATGAGGACTTTCACTGTTGGTTTGAGCCATACAGAAACTACTTATTTGGTATCTTAAAAGAAATAGAATAACCAACCAAGATCCGATCAATCAACAAATATGTAGGAGAAAAATAGAGATGGATCTGGCATACACCACTAAGGAAGCCGTCGAATGACATCTTGCGCCAGGCTTTCGAATGAAATCCAAATGGTAAGCGAATAGTGGGTCGTGACATGGAGTAGGTCGTGTGAGGAAGAGATGAGACAGTTTGGGCAATCGTGGACCCAGCTGAAGAGGATGGTAGAAAATAGAAGAAAGTGGAGGTGTGTTTTTGAAGCCCTATGTTCTATTTGGAACCCAAGGGAACATTAATATAATAATAATAGTATAGTATAGTATAGTATTTTCACCGTTCACACACTCTAGGTGTGGTGCATTGCCGATGGTATATTTGTTGAGTAACGTAACTTTCGCTAGACCTATAATCTAGTTATTGTCCTTTCCCAAAAATCTTCACCAGTTTCAATTTGATCCTATCTTTCTTTTGTCTACTTTTATGTGTGTCCCTCGAAAGATTTTGGCGTCTTGAACAATTAATAGCACCTTTGTGGAAAGTCAGTCATTATTTTTACTGTTTCATGAATGCGTCGTTTTTAGTTTTTTTTGATGTGGTTGTGTTCTCTGAGCTGGAGAGTTAATTTGCGAAGCTTTCATCGCCCTACTAGGCAACATCTTCAGCGCATACTTCAATCTGATGAAGTGAGCTTCTAGATTTCTCCACGCGTTTACTAGTCATCTCTCCTGGTGACCATCTTGAAAGTGATTGGTTATTTTTGTGTGTTTTCACACCTTCAAGGTTACTTATATTGGAACTGATGGTTTCCTTAACTTGAACTTTGACGCTTTGTGTATGACATTTCCTTCTTATCAATTGGTAAATTTTGTCTATCTCGATTTGTCTATTGATTGATGATTCACTGGAATACCAGTCTTCTAAAATCCTCTCCGTCATTCTTGGTGTTTCCTCTGTCTAATATTTGAACGTTGGCTTTCCCAGTCGGATTGATGTCTGTGGTTGCCTGTATGCAGTGATATGAAGGACTGGATATCATGTCTTTTGACGGCTAGTTTATGTTCATGGATACGAAGACGAAGGGAACGTCCGCTTTGGTCAATGTAGTGTTTTTCTCAGTTGTTACAATTTATTTGGTAGATGTTGTTAAGTCTTTTGGTTGACATAGAACTGAGTGAAGTGACTTTGTTGGTTTGTGTACGACGTCAATTTTATAAAGGTTTGAGGAGTCTTGTAATGATTTCTGAGATATCCTTTGTATATGGTAGGGCGATTTTCTTTGTGCTTTCCCTGGGGCTTTTAGTTTGATGGGTTGGCTTGGGGGTATATGTGTTTTGATGAAATTCCATGAAAGATGTCTTTCTTCAACTTTCCTTAAGATGGGTGTGCTGCAATGAGTCTTTGCCCTCTTGAATAGTGTTTATTTGCAATTCCTTTTGTGTGCTATTGGATTGTTGCTGTTGTAATTCAGGATTTGGTCTGTGTCAGTTGATTTTCTATAAACTTTAGTTTCTAATTCGCCTGTGGTTGTTCGCTTGATTAAGACGTCCAAAAATGTTTTTAGTTCAAGATATAACACATACATTATACATTTTACCCTTATGTTTTCGTCTCCACTTGTCTATTTTAACATCATATCTTATCCTAACATTATTACTGAATTATGATTTAATTCCCGGTATAATAAGGCAACACAGCAACCATTCTACTATATTCTCTGAAGCGTTTTTTAGCTACCTGCATGACTATTCTGAAGCTCCCACCTCCTCCTCCTCACACGATCTGCTCTACACATCATACTCGACCACACGGGTTCCAATTAAACACCTACACTATGATATCAATTGATTGTCTTCTCAGCGTGCATCCACTCTGTCTTCATTTCCTTTATACATATTTTTGGATAATAAATTCATCATTGAACAGAGTTTGGAATGGCAGTCACCTCTCTATCTCATCTTCATTGACTTTGAAAAGGCCTTCAATGAGGCAGCGTTGAACGAGAGGTGATTTGGCAACTACTTTGCTACTACGGGGTGCCGCCAACATTTATACATCTCATTCAACAGTTGTACGACAATGCTGCATGCCAAGTAATCCACAACGGGAAACTTACGCAATCCTTAGAAGTAAAGGCAGGAGTAAGACAAGCCTGGCTGCCTACTATCTCCAATGATTTTCCTGATTGCAATAGATTGGATAATGCGACAGACAGCGGTGGGCAACGAGGAGATAGGCATAAAATGGAATCACATCAAATACTTGGAGGATCTGGACTTCGTCGATGATGTGTCTGATTTACCACAAATTGGATGATATGTAAGTTAAAAGCAACAAATCGGTGATGGAAAAAGCATCGAGAGAAGATAGGACTTCAGGTGAACACAGAAAAGACAGAGGTGATAAAGATTCCTGGGCAAAACCAACAGCAACGACAACTAAAACAGACAACAATCAGCATAAATGACAATGAAAGAAGCAACCACCTTTACCTACCTACCTGGGAACCACCGTCTCAACTATAAGCGGAACTGATGAGGATATCAAAGCAAAGATCGGGAAAGCAAGACAAGCCTTCATTACTCTCTAATCTGTGTGGAGGTCAACAGCACTCAGCATGAAAATGGAAATAAGATCCGGATTTTCAACTCCAATGTGAAGTCAGTGCTACTATACGATTGAATCAGAGACTTGGCCAGCGCGTCATAAAAAGCACCTCAAACAAACTACAGACCTTCATCAATAGCTGTCTTTGCTGAATACTCAAGATCAGATGGCCATAAAAGATCAGCAGAAGGGATCTCTGACACCGAACCAACACCGCATGTACCGACTGTACAACAAATAAGCAGGAAGAAATGGAGGTGGATTGTCCATACTCTGAGAAAGCAAAGTATGAAATGACATCACTAGACAAGCCATTGCTTGAGTGGAACTCGAAAGGGAAGCGGCGAGTCGGTCGTCAGTGCAAGGGTGACTTGGAGGAGGTCATGTGAAGAGGAGATGAAAGCATGTGGGCAGACCTAGAGCCAGGTGAAAACTTTAGCAATAGAGACGTGCAGCTGAAGCCCTATGTTCCTCTAGGAATTAAAGGAAATAATAATAATAAATTCTTGGTTGCTTCTTTGTTCGTCATATTTTCCTTCATTGATTCTCCTTAGTAGCTGTCATTACGACTATCTGACCTTCAGTATGCAGGGAATGCCGGTCTGATAGAAGTCTGCAGTAAGTCTGTTGATAATACTTTATGTGACTGACAAGTCAGGTCTCTGAAGCACACTGCAGTACTAATTTGACATTAGTGTTAAAAATTTGAGTTTGTTCCTTATGCTGAGTGCCTCAATATTTTCTTATTGATTTCCAATTCGATCCTGGTTGGCTTTGACATATTCATCCGTGGCACACCTGTAATATACTCACACCAACCAGTAATGCTTGCCAGTTAACCAGATTGAAACGATCTAAACAAGAGATGATCAGTTCGCTTGTTTGGCGCCTAGGTCGCCGCAGTAAGCTCCACCATTTAGTCAGGGTAGCAGCTATCAATCGTGAGGTGGTAGATTGGTTTTCACGGGTTTGTTTCTCTCGTGTACAGATAAGTTTATACAAAATTATTGAACTTAATACTCTAGGTAGTCATTTCTGGTCCCCTCATGATTTTCATAAGGTGACTTTTTTTCCTTTTTGATTGCACACTAGTTAGTAAGCAACTATAGTGTATTGTTTCTAGTCCTATCTTTGGTGCAGACTGAATTCTATCAGCCAAGTTTGTATTGTGACAAACCATTATAGGTGGTTCGCCATCACGATACATTCAGCTCAGTGGCAGTGTCTCTATGACTCCAGCACTCGATGACGCGGGTTCCAGTCTCAGAAGGGAGATCTGCCTTGATGAGGAGCGTCAACTAGCCGTCTGTAAGTGAGGTCACAAAAGCTATCAGTAATTTGAAACGAGGCAAAGCGGCAGGACCCGACGGAATTATTCCGGAGGTGTTTAAATATGGGGGTGACATACTAGTTTGTAGATTAACTGAGGTACTAGGCAAAGTCTGGGAATCAGAGACAGTGCCATCAGACTGGGGTAAGTCACTTATTATACCGATATTCAAGAAGGGAAACAAGTCCTCGTGTGATAATCATAGGGGGATCAGCCTAACGAACATAGTCTCTAAAATCCTAGGCTCAGTAATCATGCATAGACTAAGCAGAACTCGGGAGGAACAGACAAGGGAAAATCAAGCAGGCTTTAGACCAGGTAGAGGGTGCATAGATCATATCTTCACTCTTCGACAGATTCTAGAACATAGACACACTTTTCGGCGTCCAACAATTGTCATATTTCTTGACTTGAAGGCGGCCTTCGACTCCGTGGATCGAAAGGTACTATGGCAATGTCTGACTGTGAAGGGAGTGCCAAGAAAGTACATTGCACTAATCAAGGCACTCTATTCAAACTCACGTAGTCGTGTAAGGGCTTATGGGGAATTGTCATCTGAATTGGTAACAACCAGTGGTGTCCGACAGGGATGTCCACTTTCCCCATTTCTGTTTAACTTCATCATAGATATGCTAATGGAAGTATCCTTAACTGAACGTAATGACTTAGGAATCGACTTGTTACCAGGGAATAGTCTTATGGACTTAGAATATGCAGATGACATAGTCCTGTTAGGGGAGGATGCTGACAAAATGCAGAGTCTTCTGAACACCTTGAGCAGCAATCTTCGTATGTTTGGCATGCGATTCGCCCCTACAAAATGTAAGATGCTGCTACAGGACTGGACCACGTCAACCCCTAACTTAGTGATAGGGAGTGAAGTGATAGAACATGTTGACCACTTCACCTATTTGGGAAGTTGTATTAGCACCAACGGACTGATTGGCGATGAAATCTCAGCACGGATCCGAAAAGCTCGAGCTGCTTTCGCTGACTTACACCATCTCTGGCGTAGGCGTGACATCCGGTTATCAACCAAGGGACGTGTGTACTGCTCATCAGTTCGCTCCGTCCTTCTCTATGGCTCTGAAACATGGCCAATACGCGTTGAAGACATGAAAAGGTTGACTGCTTTCGATCATAGATGTCTGCGATCTCTGTCTCACGTTAGGTGGTTTAATAAGGTAAGTAATGTTGACGTTAGGCGTAGAGTGTTGGGCAAAGAGGGAAAATCAATCGACGAGGCTATAAAGTTACATAGACTAAGATGGCTAGGTCACGTGCTGCGCATGCCTAACCACCGCCTCCCCCGACGGGCATTGCTAGCTGATATAGGTCAGGTTGGAAAAGAGCCAGTGGTGGCCAAACAAAAACATGGCATCAATCCATGAAATCCTTGACAGTTAAACTGAGTCAGGTAGGGAGATGCAGACTCCCGGGTTGGGGCCCTCGGGACTCTAGGAATCAATGGCTGGAGACAATAGGTGACATGGCTCAAAATCGTTGTCAATGGCCAGCGCAGATGTATTCAGTCTCTGTAATCTTTCATATTCCTTTCTACCATTACCCATTCTGTTTCACTCTTATACTTGTCAACTCTATTGATTCTCTTCACTCATCTTCTTGTCTACCTCTGTGTGCTATTTGGAACGTGGCAACTCGAACTGCTGCACTTCGGTGCCAAGTTCTATGTTGAATCCAGACAGACAAACAGACAGTCAACTAGCACGGAACCTAGATCCAAGGCTTTCCTACTACCGATTGCCACCAACCATCCTTTCTTGTAAACTGAGATAGTCAGTGATTCACATAATTTCAATGAGACTGTTTTAGTTTATCACACACACCGCCTAATATTTTAGTTGACCCAGTCGATAGGTCGTCATCTCTATCTTTAAGTGCACCAATGATCCCTCATTGGTGCGTGTAAACCTCGTGGGTGTTTAAAGGTTAAATTTTCCCCCATCTTAGATAGTCTCGCAATCAATTTATATTGATTATATTGTTAATACTTTTGTTTAAAAATAATTGTCTTATACTTTATTGATCAGACAATTTCTATTCATTTTTTTTTATATATATTGATATATATTCAAGGTCGCGTCATTGGAGAATCTGGCTATAAGCATTAATCACTCAAATAAACCAAATAAAAGACCATGGAGACCACCATCAAAAATTATTTCACCAATAAACTCATCATATCGAATGTATTAAATAGAAGAAAACGAAAAAGTAAAATTGTCTAACAGTTAAGTTTCTTTTTTTCTCTTGTACTTATGAATATTAGTCATCAGTGTTTAGGAAACAAGTTACCATCTTTTTATTCGCATTTGTTTTATTGTTTAAATTCATGTTATATCCTGTTTGCGCTTTATTTGAAATTAACTTCATAAATTTTATTATTCCATATAACTTCAAATAGTATTCAACTTTATCCTTTTCTGTAAGTATTATCTTCTATGAAACTTTAACAACATCGAGTATCCGCATGCACATATAATATTCAGAAACTTACTGTTGATGTATTTCTTTTTCTCAAAAATTGTTTTAATCGAATGGAAATTTAATAAATTCAAGGTTCAATGTATACATTTCAATGTCTCAATGACTTGGTTGATTTCGTAACAAACGAACATCGCTATTTATTTATTTGTTCATTTAATTTTGGTGGAGTACTCCTTCTTTTTTTCTTGACCTTTGGCATGCACACATACCTCACGTATAAATATACGCACACACACACACACAAGTGTACACACTAACAAAACAAGTACCGATGGTGACATTATCATTATGTAAATAAATATAAGTATAATTAATAAGATTGTTCTTATTGATTTTTAAGTAATTAGGCAAGTATAAAGTCATGTAATGTAATGACATTTAGGATTTCAAAGAGTATAGACAGAAGTCCCAGTGGCTTAATGGTCCTATGAGCTCACTTTTAAACCTGAAGGTCCTGAGTTCGAACCCTAGTGATGGGTGCATACTGACGAAGAGTCCCAAACTAGGACCAGTCAAAACCCTGGAAACCAAGACTTGGATATAGACAGGGGTTAGATTTTTACCAATGTTGCTGTCTTTTTGATGTAGTGGTGTTCTCTGAGCTGAGTGACTCAACTGCGGGGTCTCCATTATCCTTCTGGACAACATCACTTCAAATGAAGGATCCAGGATTAAGCGAACTTATCTGAATTCTCGGTGATATCATTCAGCTGTCAGACGCTTCCTTAAATCACTGGTCTACCCAGAAATTTTCTACCCATCAAAATACATCGTTCTTACTGCATTTCAAATTGTTCTAATCTTCTAATTACCACAATGAGTTGCGATTTATATTCACGGAAAATTTCAAACAACTTTCTACCTAATGATCGGAATTTTTCGTAAGAAATCTAGGAAGAACATCATAGAGTAGCTCTGAAGCGTAGTTCGAATGCAACAATATTGCTTCAAATAATGTATTATCTATTATTTGAAGTTTCCACAGAAGGGGTAGACATTTGCGCTCACCAGCAGTACAGTCTCCACGATACTTGGCTTTATAAGCACACACACACACACACCTGGACATTTGGAACCCATGACCTGCACAAAGTCCTTAACCAATATGTCACAACCCCTTCTGTAACCAGTGGGGTTATATATTACTAATTAATACATAGGGATAAATATGCACAGAGAATGTTGGTGGTGGTCGCTGTATATATTAAAATTATTCTGAAGGTGGTAATCATGGGATCATTGACCAGTAACAAGTTCACCTCAAGATCTTACAGTCCTGAGTTCAATCAAACCAGGACTAAACAGTCATTCACTTTTCTAACTAGTTTTAAATGTTTATTTCAGCTATAAGTTTGCAGAGCAGCTGTGCCGCATTGGTCTAGCCCCTCGACTTCCAAGCAATAGGTTCAAAACCCATTTCACCCGTAGAGTTTTTGATGATCAGGCAGTACGTCAGTAGTAGGATGCTCGTCAACCACGTCTCATATAGCCCAGGATTCGATCCTCGGCCGACGTAGTCATAAACCTCGCTTAGCTGTTGTTTAGGTCAATAAAAAGGGAAGGTTTAGCATGAGGCTAGTAGCCATCTCCCCCACCCCCGTAAAAATAAACACCACTGCCATAGAAATTTCCTCCCAGCTGACGGTCATTCTTAACGAAACTAACCTTGAAAGGACATTTTAATTACATATCAATAGAAAGAAAGCAGACTTGACATTTTAACATATTCACGACACCTTTTATGCATATATTTATTCATTGAGGTCATAAAATAACTTTTCAGCAAGCATGGTACATACACTATCAACACAATATATTTACAAATACATACATCACGAATCAAGCGTACAGTGAAATGCAAAAAAGGACCACCGATCATAATGATGATAATAATTATAAGTGAGAAACATTATACACAATCACTAAGGTTACAGTTGTTTTTTGTCAAAAATAAAGAGGTGGTGGAATGGCAACCTCTTTCCCAGAAATAGTATAGTAATATATATAGGAAACACTTGTAGGAAGATGTGGTTAACTGACCAAGCTTCAACGTAGAACTTGGTACAGAAGTGCATCAGTTCAAGTGGTCACACTCCCTCAATGTAGCACACAGAACTACGGAAAACTAAGACAAATTCAAAAGAACTACAATGATGTGAATAAAAAAAATTGTAAACGGGAGAATTAATAAATACAATTGAGAAACATGAAGAGCTAATGGATCGGGACCATTGACTGTCTGTTTTCAGCATAGAACTTTTCACCGGTGTGCAGCAGTTCAAGTCGCCACACTCCCTCCACGTAGCACACAAAGCAAGAGTAGAAAGTAGAAGAAATGAATAATAGAGACAGTAGACAGAAGTGTGAAACAGAGGAATAGTAATAACGAAGAACGATATAGTTTCATTCGAAATCATAAGTTACAAGGAGTAGATGCATCTGCGCCATTGAGAACGATCACTTTGAGTCATATCACCGATTGTCTCCAGTATTTGATTTCTACTGTCCCGAGGACCCCAACCAGTCAGGAAGTCTACACCTTCCTACGTGGCTCGCTCAAACTAACTGTTGTGGATTTCATTGACTGGTGAAACCGCCGCTAGTTCTTTTCCAGTCCGACTCTATGTCAGCTAACATTTGAGATCGATTTTCACCAAAATTCTCAAGGTGGAACACACTCAGCTCTCAGCTTCAAATCTTGCTTCGTCTACTGCAGCCTGGACAACTAACTGGGTATCAACAGCCGCCGCAAACACACAAACACACACACAATACGTGTGGCTCATAGTTCGATACCGGGTAAGCAAATTCTCATTAGCTAACTAACTAATTAACTAAGTAGCACAGGAAACACTTACAATACAATGCTAAGGCATGATAAAAATATACGTCACAGCGAGGGTTATACATCAATATCCACCAAACCAAATGAATTTTAAGCAGGGACTCGAACTCAGGGACAAAATTAGGAAAGCATTGAACAAAATGAATAAATGAAAGTCATTCAGTCAAAAATAGAGAGATAAAAAATAAAAAAAAATTAGAAATAGGAAAGAGTTGATGAGGTCAAAAAGCAAATATATAAATAAATAAAATATGATTTTGACTTCTCTCTTCCTTCCACATGAATACCTTAAACGAATCATTCATTCAAGCATACAAATAAGCGCGCACAAATTAGAAACGATAAAGCGCATATAACATGTAAAAGTATAATTGTGTTGAATGCTTTTAAAATGAATAAATCACAGTGCTCACTTTATAATATTTTGTTTTCATCTTCTCTATTATTTTACATTATTATTGTAATTATTATTATTTTAAAAAAAATCATTTTACTAACAATTACATTCATAAGAAAGTGTTGAATCATTTTGTACACGGACTTGTGGTAAAGAGGTCAATTTAGGACGTTCATTAAATGTTAAAATACCACTATGTGGTTGTCGTGTACACTTTATTAATCGATCAGGATCTAATTCACCATTATTAATTTTTATTATTAAATTACGTACACATTGATTAAAAGCTTCATCAATATTTTCACCAGTTAATGCAGATGTTTCTAAAAAGTATAAATCGTTATCTTGAGCAAATGCACTAGCTTCCCATTGTGTTACTTGTCCATCAGTATCCTACAATAAATAACAACCGAGAAGTATACGTCTGTCTAAAAGCACTGATAAAAGAAAACGGGATATGAAGGGTACCAAAAACAAAGTCAATAAAACTACTTACATTTCGTAATCTAATACACACTGAAAATGTTATCTATGGATGCGCAGTTCCCGAAAAACTGACAGCTGCTACATCGATATGATTGGCAACGCTTATATATGCGCGTAAACGAGTGATCTATACAGGTTAGAATAATTGTCTTTACAGGTTGTGTCATGTTAGATGAACAAAGATAAAAAGTAAACTATGAAGGCGAATTAGTGCTGCGAGTGAAAAAGGATGTAAAAGCATTAGAGTGATTTCATTAGATGACCAGTAAACCAGGTATATCGACTTTCTATTTTGAAAAAAAAGAATCCTAAGAAAGGTTAACCTGTGAAAATTCATATGATCTGGTTTACTTTACAGCGGTTCACGCTGAGATTCCTTGAAACTACACAAAGTGTAACACTTTTAAAGGTAAAGGCTATTGATTGACCTCAATTAAATGCCTATAGTTAGTCTCTAAACGTTGACGCAAAACTAAGTTGTTTGTGTTTCCGGAATCCTTGGAAGTACGAATTCCTCTACCTCACACACACACACACACACACACACATTACCATGAGAACACGCCTAACGCGTTTGTTAATAATTGTCGATACAGTTCCATCAAAACTTTTCCTAACCAATGCTAAGAGAAACCTTAAAAGAAATAATATTTTGAGTTAAACTGACAGATATCAAGAGTTTCTGGTTAACGCTCTGAGGAATGCCGGACTGTTCACAGTAAAAGCCAGAACAATCTCTCATAGATTCTTTGCATAGTCTTGATTTGACATGAATTAGCATTTCGTGATCGGGGAATAAATACATAAATTACAATAACTGAATAATAATTTAGATTGAGTTTTAATGTAGATTTCGTCATGAACTAAAGATCGCTGAAAACTGAAAGGGTATTGGACAGCTGTTTTGTCCCAACTGTTGAGACTATTCAGGGATCTTCAGGTTACGAGACTAAGCTTATCGATCATTTAGTCACTTCGAATGGAATTCAATGATCCGTGAATTCTAAAAACTTCTGCCAATTCATGGGGTAGCCCAATCCTCAACCAATGCCTTCGATGAGCATCCAATGAACCTTGACATTATTATTTCCTTTAATTCCTAGAGGAACATAGGGCTTCAGCTGCACGTCTCCACTGCGTTCGGTTCTCTGCTAGAGTATTCACCTGGCTTCAAGTCTACCCACATGCTTTCATCTCCTCTTCACATGACCTCCTCCAAGTCACCCTTGGACGACCGACTCGCCGCTTCCCTTTCGGGTTCCACTCGAGCAATGGCTTGTCTAGTAATGTCACTTGATGGTTTCGTCAGAGTATGGCCAATCCGCTACCTTCATTTCTTCCTGTATATTTGTTGCACAATCGGTTCCTGGTTGGTTCGCTCATCGCCATAGAACCCTCCCTGTTGGTGATCTTTTCTGGCCATCTGATCTTGAGTATTGAACGAAGACAGCTGTTAATGAAGGTCTGTAGTTTGTTTGAGATGCTGTTTATGACGCGCCAAGTCTCTGATCCAATCGTATAGTAGCACTGACTTCACATTGGAGTTGAAAACCCGGATGTTATTTTTGATGCTGAGTGCTGTTGACTCCCACACATACTTAAGAGTAATGAAAGCTTGTCTTGCTTTCCCGATCCTTGTTTTGATATCCTCATCAGTTTCGTCTGCTTGTAGTTGAAACGATGCTTCCCATGTGGGTAGGTGAAGGAGGTTGTTTCTTTCAGGTTCCTCCTATTTATACTGGCTGATTGTTGTCTGTTGTTGTTGGCCAGGAATCTTCATCACCTCTGTTTTCTCTATGTTCACCTGAAGTCCTACCTTTGATGCTTCTTCTATCGCCAACTTGTAGCTTTCCACTTGCATATCTTTCAGTTTGTGGGAAATCAGACATATATCATTCTACAAAGTGCAGATCCTCCAAGTCTCTTTTTGTGTGGGTCCATTTGATGCCTGTTTCCTTGCTGCCCACTGTGTGTCTGTCGCATTATCCAATCTACTGCAATCAGGAAAATCATTGGCGATAGTAGGCAACCAATGAACCTTGACATAATGGACACGATTTAGCCACGACGCCTTAGTACAGACAGCTTCAGGCCATTCCTCCTCTGGCAGCTGTCAACGGGCTGGAGATTGACATTTTGATTATACGAGTTTTTACGGTATCCTAATCATCTCGAAATGCTATTATTGGTTAGTGATGGTGGTCAGCCTATATTAAAATATTAATTAACCGAAAGACAAAATTAAAGGTAAAAAAGGTAATAAAAAGGTATATATTTTCTATTACCTGTAAATCTTTTTTATTTCCAACCAATACAATCATAATATCAGGTGAAGCAAGTGTTCGAGCATCCGACAACCAATGGGTAAGTTCATTAAATGAATCACGATTTGTTATATCATAGACAAGTAATGCACCAACAGCATCATGATAATAAGAACGAGCCATTGATCGAAAACGTTCTTGACCTGGGGAATAAATGTCATGTTATTTTATTACTACTAGACAAACAGCAGAACACAACAATACGAAGAGATAAACTGGAATAGAAAAATGATTACATTTTCTCACATGTCAGTTTATCACAGGGATTTGATTGATCAAGAATTGACTTCAATTAGAGAGAACCACTTAAAAACCAAGGAGTACTGGGGAGAGTTGTGTTCGATCCCTCGTAGGGTTTTGTTTGTGTAATGTCGAAACAGCTACCTGGTTTTCAGTGGTTCTCTCTAACTGAAGTCACCCTCGTGATCAACCCTGAAGTCGATATAAATCCCCGCAAACCGACACACATGGAAATCAATCTAGTGTTTACTGGTGAATTCAACAAATAAGTTCTAGGGGAAGGTCGTGACCACATGGAGCCACCAAGTTGGGTGTGAGGGGAATTATAGATGGAGGACACGCTATACACTCAATAGTTAAAATCAACGGACCATTGTATTCCGTCACAGTGGGTGAATGGTTAACGAACTCACGTCGCAACCCCCTTAAGAATCCTAAAGAAGAAAGGAACAGCTGTCCATTACCTACTGTGGGAATAGGAGAAAGATGCTCAGGAAGGCTTCGTGTGCTTTTAGAAGTGTGTGGACAGCTGTTACTTCCCGGCTGCTCACACCGTAGGAGTTGTTTGATTCTTCGGGTACCTGAAACAGAGAGAGGGTTAGTGTTGCGTGACCGCAAAACCCAGAGGGTAACTGCTTGAGGCTGGTCACACACGGTCTGTATGAACTGGTTTCTTGGTTTGGTTTCGTATTAGCGAACTTACCACCGGTTACGGACCATCGTAGGGTGAGTCGGGATGTACAATTTTTGGGGTCGACCCTCTCTCAGGCAGAGTGGAAAGACAGCATAGCTGGCATCCTGGTCGTCTGAGGGAAACACCTCACTGCTGTGACACCCCTGTTCCCCAGTAGTACGACTTCGCCCTCAGACCACCAGCATAGTGTAAGAAAGATTCTTACACGATGCCGGTAACTGCTTTTAGTCTGATCGCTATCCTAACAACCTGCTTGGCATGGTAGGACCTGCAGGAAGATTGGTTGCAGCTAGTGTAGCTTCTTGGGTCATTGCTATATGCAAGCCCGACCACCACGTCAAGGTAGCAGCTATCGGTCGGGCCAGTACCCACTACCATGTTTTCAATGGTTCTCTAACTGAAATTAGTTCGCAATCGATCTTGAAAAGATTAAATGTCGTTCATATTGATTGGCTCAAATAAGCACAAACCCTATATAGTGTAAACAACTATAATATAGTATCACTTGGTGTATTGATCACATCCTCTACTTCTTGACAGATAAGGTTTGATTGTTAATGACAACTTAGTAGTATAAGTGACTATATAACAACTTATTCATATATCATCGTTCATTCTGTACATTTTCACCTATTCGATAGTGGTTTGAGACTAACAGCATATGTTACGTAGGAATTGTGTAATAAAGATCATTGTGATCGTATTTGACAGAAATGTCCGGGTTTTTTTAATATGTCGACACCTGGTACAGAGACGTCAACGACATCTGTGGATTAACATGATGGTTATTTTTTATGAGTGGTGACTACAGGCTGGTGGATCCAGAATGTGTCTTTCGTCCTATATGGTACTCATCATCATCATCATCATCATCTGGATGCACTCGCAATTTTCAGTGATGGTATCCCTCCGCCCCACTGAGGCTGGAACCCAGTACCTAAAGTTTTAAACGCAAAAGCATTTGCACAAAGAGCCGACTCGTCGACCTGAAGTCGAGCACTTCTCTCTCCAATCAATCAACGGGAAAGTCCAGATTGAATTAGATAATTACTGACAGCCGTTGCATGATAGGTTCTCATGGCCCAGCTATGGTCTAGTGGATAGGAATTTGTATTGTAACAAGGGAAGATTATAGGACTAACTGGCATTAACGAAATCATTTACATCCTAAGCTATAGATATTCATCGACATTAAAAACGCTCGATTCAGTACTTTTCCGCCCACTATTATCCGCACATTAGTAACCATTGTTCTACTACACAACCGAATGTGACCGAACCTCAATGGAAAGAGAGTTTATAGGTCTCTATATGCACACTGCCGGCTATATTTTAGTTAGATGTAAGCCTTCTTATGAATGTGGATTAAGAGAGAGTGTGTCGTATAATAACAACTGTAATGGGGTGGTGGTGGTAACTATTAGGCATTCGACAGCCGGATAGGACAACTAGGTTACATCGACACACAATTAATGACTGTCTCAGTTTATCGTTTATTAAAACATTCTAAGTATTCATCCTTTATCTTTAATATAAGCTGTAACAGTTCTTCAAAAAAAAACCAACAAGCTCAAATTCACCTGCAGTATCCCATATTTGAATTTTCACCGACGTCCCATCCACATTTAAAATTTTACTGCCAAACTCTGCACCAATTGTATGCGGCATATTTGGTATAAATTTGCCTTCTGTATACCTCCGTAGGATACATGTCTTGCCAGAGCCTGCAGCTCCAATAATCAAAAACTTGAATATATACTTGTAATCCTCTGTTACATTCATTTCATCTGATAATTATGCGAATGCGTAGTAAAAACTGGTTTTTATTCAGAGAACAATAGTCTCTTATTATTGATTTTAAAAATTTGAATTTTGTTTAAGAGCTTAAAAAAAATCCAGTAAAATAAAAGTATTACAGAGTGCGAGTTGTAGATGTTATCGGTGAGTTAACTAAAATCTTATTATATAGTCATCACTGATTAAAAAACAGCAATACAATGTTGTACAAAAATTCATTAATTCGAGTATATTTCATAATGATATAACAAGAAGGTAGTATGGTCACGTGAGCTACTCAAACGAAAACTAACAAGAAGTCTTCGCAACGACCGCGAACAGTGGTGGGTGACAAGATCGAAAGAGATGGAAAAGGCATCGGCGATTGGCAACACCAGACAATTTATTTAGGCTTATCAGGGAAACAGGTGGTAAAAGGCAAATGATAAGTGAAACAATCTCTGAGAAAAATGGCACCATAATTAGCTCTCAGGATAGACGACTGGAACGCTGGAAAGAGGACTATGAGGAGCAGTCTAACTGGTCTACAGCCAGGCTCAACCTGCCGAACATCCAACACCTCCCTGAATGAGACATAGACACAGGTCCTCCATCCCTAACTGCGGTTACTGAAGCTGTCACCAATCTGAAACAAGGCAAAGCAGCGGGACCTAATGGAATGGCTCCAGAGGTATTTAAGTACTGTGGAGACAGTTCACTGTCTGCATTAACCGAAGTACTAGGCAACATCTGGGAATCAGAGGAAGTTCCATCGGGTTGGTGTAACTCACCGATTATCCCCATATACAAGAAGGGAGACAAGTCTTCCTGTGATAATCACAGAGGGATTAGCTTGACTAATATAGTATCTAAAGTCCTAGACTCAATAATCATGCGTAGACTAAGTGGTACTCGGGAGGCACAAACACGAGATAGCCAGGAAGGCTTTAGACGAGGGAGAGAGTGTATTGATCATATCTTCACCCTTCGACATATTCTAGAACATAGGCATTCTTACCGGCGTCCAACAATCATTATATTTCTTGATCTAAAGGCGACATTCGATTCTGCCGACAGAGAGGTTCTCTGGCGATGCTTGGCTGTAAAGGGAATCCCGAGAAGATACATTGCACTAATCAAGGCACTCTACTCGAACTCATGCAGCCAGGTGAGAGCTTACGGTGAGTTGTCATCTGAGGTGGTGACAACTAGTGGTGTCCATCAGAGATGTCCACTATCCCCATTTCTATTCATTTTCATTACAGACGTACTAATGGAATTAACCCTAACTCACTAATGAGACTCAGGGATTACCTTGTTACCAGGGAATAATCTCGTTGACTTAGAATATGCAGATGATATAGTACTTCTAGGTGAGGACGCTAACAAAATGCAGAGTCTTCTGAACACCTTTAGCTGCAATCTACTAATGTTTGGCATGCGATTCGCTCCCGCCATATGTAAGATGATGTTACATGATTGGACTACACTCATTCCTAGTTTAGAAGTAGGGAGTGAAGTGGTAGAGCACGTTGACCGCTTCACCTATTTGGGAAGTACCATCAGCCAGTGCCAGCAGGTTAATCTCTGACGAAATCTCAGCACGGATACAGAGGGCTAGTTTTGCATATTCCAGTTTACGCCGTCTCTGGCGTAGACGTGATATCCGGCTAGCTGGCTATCGACCAAAGGGCGGGTTTACTGCCCAGCAGTCCGCTCCGTCCTCTTTTACGGCTGGCTGTGAGACCTAGCCATTGGGAGTGGAAGACATGAAAAGCCTGGCCGGCTAACTGTCTTTGATCATAGGTGCCTGCGTTCTATCTCCCTTCCGTGTGAAGTGGTATAATAAGGTGAGCAATACTGAGGTTAGATGTCGAGCTCTAGGTAAGGAGGGGAAGTCAGTCGACGAAGCTGTGAAGTTATATCGACTGAGATGGTTAAGACATGTGTTACGTATGCCTAGTCATCGTCTTCCTCGACAACAGGAAATGTTAGCTGACATAGGACCAGGCTGGAAAAGAGCTAGCGGCGGTCAAAACAAAACATGGCTTCACCAGTCAATGAAATCCACAACAGTTAGTTTAAGCCAGCCACGTAGGAAGGTGTAGACTTCATGACTGGTTGGGGTCCTCGGGATGGTAAAAACCAATGAAGGCTGGAAACAATTGGTGTTATGGATCAAAGTGATTGTTCTCAATGACTGGCGGAGATGCATCCACTCCTTGTGACTGATGATTTCAAATGAAATTATATTGTTCTTCGATATTACTATTCTTTTTGTCTCACACCTGTGTTTACTGTCTCTATTATGTATTTCTTCTACCTTCTCTTGCTTTGTGTGCTACATGGAGGGAGTGTGGCAACTTGAACAGCTTCACATTGGTGCAAAGTTCTATGTCGAAAACAGACAGAGTAAGTTTCACCGTAAAACTCTGAACAGAAGTTCACCACTTTAAGTTGCCACACTCTATGCTGCACAGAAGAGTACAGAAAAGAGAAAAAAGGAATTGAAAACCACTGGAATAAGGAGGAATGAACGGGAGAAAGAATAGTGACAAGGAGGTTTAATGGATTTGGGAGATCACAGAGAGTGAATACATCTACACCACAGTCTCCAGCTATTGGTTCTTAGCATCCTGAGGTTCCCAAACAAGCCGTTTACACCGCTCTCTAGATGACTCGAACCAACTGTTAAGTACTTCATAGATTGATGCCAGGTTTCGGCTTGATCACTTCCACCTGTTTTCCAACCCGACCCTATATCAGGTAACATTGCTCGACGAGGAAGGCGGTGGCTCGGTGCGTGTAATATATGACCTAGCCACCTCAGTAAACATTGCTTCATAACCTTATCGACTGACTTCCTCATTTGGACCTCTATGTGAAGAGACGAGTGATGAATAGACTCCAGTCACATCAACTTATTTCGCCTTACAACAATCGGACTACCTATACAACTCAAAATCTCACAGAAAAAGAAACTTGTCAGCCTAAAATCTGACACTTATTAGAAACAAAATATAAACACAATAGAATAAAAAATTGATATGAAGAAAGCAGTTAATGAACAATGAAGAAATATTTTAAGATATTATTTCTCAACATTTAAAGTAGGGTCAGATCTGTAGAAGTTAGTTCAAAATCGTCTTTTAGAAACCTCGTAATTCAAATATGAAACTCTGAGTGTTATCTAATTTCCTGAAGTCAATTCCATATTAGTTTGTTTATTAGATATATCACAGTGACTGAAACAGTATTATTTATTGGATGACAAGGTTTCGAACACATTGTCGTTCATAATCATATCAATTATAATCACACGACTTTGAAACTTGAGTTTTTAGTTTTCTTTGTCTTCTCCTATTTGTCATAGGGGTAGTAGAATTTTCCAGATATCAGGGATAGGTGATGAATCATTCCTATCACACATATTCCCTTCAGTTGATTCCATAAACAAAGCTTCTGTTATCAATCTCTCCCTCCACTCTGTTACATTAGATTTTAAAACCGTCATCCTATTCCATCCTATTGTGTGGTTGTGTGTGACTGCATGTAATGCTATGGCTGAACTAGTCTCTAGATCTCTTATCTTAATCGGTCAACTAATGTAGATTTTGCTGCTAGGTTTTTATGTCTGGCTAGTCTGACTGCCCCTGTTCTACTAGTTTGACCTATGTATTTGACCTGACAATCATTCAAGCAGGGTATTAGATAAACTAAATTGTTTTGTTTTAAAGGCTCCACAGGATCCGTTAACCGACGATGCATGTTTCTAATTGAGTTTGTGGGTTTGAATGCCACTTGTATTCCTACTTTATTAAGAATTCCGCGTGAGGTTTCCGAGATTCCTTCCTTGTATGGAATTACTACTGATGATTTAGATTCCTTATTGTTGGTGTTGTCATTATCTTGCACATATTTGACATGCATGTTGTCATTAATATTATTATTATCATCATTACCATTATTATTATTATTACCACTATCACTACCATCATTATTTATTATATTTTTACGTTTCCTTATATATTTCCTGACTAATTTATCAGGGTAATTATTAAGTTTCAAGGCTTCTCGTATATGTATCACTTCCTGTCTTAGATTTTCCTTGATACTACTTGGTTTTTGTGCTCTGTCGCTTAAACACTTCATCAATCCTATTTTCCCTGGCATAGGATGGGATGATCAGAAGTCCAAATATCTGTTTGAATGTAAGGGTTTCCTGTGAACACTAGTGTTTAGCTTCATATCTTCTTTCCTTTTTATACTGCAATCTAACATTGGAAGCTCCCCTTCCTGACTTTCTAATTCATAAGTGAATTGAATTGCCTTCACCTTTGAGTTAATGAGTTCGAAAAATCTATCTATATCCTGTGTTCTAAGTACAGTAAATGTGTCATCTACATACCTCCACCATACTTTTGGAGTCAACAATTCAATATTTGGTTTGACTTTGAGCACGTGTTCTCCTGACATAAATGACCCAATTAATTAATTAACACAGAGTAACTTGCATTCTTAGCATTCTTATAAAATTATAATGAACTTAGATTTTGGTGGCGAACTGATATTCCAGTATCAAACTTAGATTGATGTAGAAACAGTACACATAAGTAACTAGAAACTGAATTCAACAGATATAGGTAGTTCATGACGAAATAAAGAATGAAATCCAATCATAACAAAAGGTGTTTTACGCGTAAACTAAGAACTTTCCTGATGCTGTGAGAAATAACCGATGATGAAGCTATTGAACTAATAGGCAATCAAACACGAAATATAAAATTAATACAGCAACTACTGATAAATTAATCTCCGACAAAAAATCAGGATACATAAAACGTGCAGTAGAACACAAGTTACATTAAGTCTTAATCGTTCGACAATTCAATTTAAAGAGAAGATTTCACTGACATTCTATGCCGACGGGGTTTACAATTATTCGCAAGCTGAAATCAAATTCTGTCTGTGTCTGTTTTCGACATAGAACTTTGCACCGATGTGCA